AACAAGCCCCGCCCCTAATCCCATAGAACCAATCATCTTCGGGTAACAAGCCACGCCCCTTAACAACCCACTACACCAAGCCCCGCCCCTTAGCAACCACGCAGCAGCGCGGTGCACGCTGGGATATACACCCCTCCATGCATCCTTTATGGGGGCGGCCATTTTGAGGGCGTTGCCGCCATCTTGAGGGCGTCGCCGCCGTTTTTCCCCACCTCGCCCCGCTTTTCTTCGTTTTGCCCCAATTTTGTCCCAATTTTGCCCAATTTTTCCCCTAATTGCGCCAGTTTACTCCAGTGTTCCCCGTGCTGCTCCAACTTCTCATCATTTTGCTCCAATTTTTCCCCTTTTTCCACAGTTCAGCCCTATTTTGTTCTCACTTTGCCCCATTTCTCCCCCAATTGCCTCCAATTTTCCTTATTTTTCCAATTTCTCCCGATTTTTCCCCGTTTTGCCCCAGTTTCCCCCATTTGCTCTGAATTTTGCCTCGATTTTTCCCAATTTTTCACTAGTTACCCTACATTTCCCCCTTTTTTCCCCAATTTACCACAATTTTGCCCCAATTCTCTCCCTTTTCCCCCAATTTCACCCCATTTTGTCCTGATTTTCCCCCATTACTCCCAATCACCCCAATTTTTGTCTCTTTTCCCAATTCTTCCCCATTTAGCCACAATTTTTCCCCATTTTTCCCAGTTTTCCCCCCGTTGCTCCAATTTTCCCAATGTTTTTCCCCTCTTTACCCCCAATTTTTCACCATTTTTCCCCAATTCTTCTCCCATTTTCTCGTTTTGCCCCCATTTTTCCACAATTTCCTGGGCCTCGCTGCCATTTGTGGGCCCTGCCGCCATTTTGAAGGCACCGCCGCCATTTTTTTTGCCCTTCCCGCCATTTTGTGGGCGTGGCCGCCATTTTCCCCCTTCCCGCCATTCTGTGGGCGTGGCCGCCATTTTTGCACCATTCCCGCCATTCTGTGGGCGTGGCCGCCATTTTGAGGGTACCGCCGCCATTTTTTCACCATTCCCGCCAGTTTTGAGGGCGCGACCGCCATTTTTTCCCCATTCCCGCCATTTTGTGGGCGCGGCCGCCATTTTTCCCCCATTCCCGCCATTCTGTGGGCGCGGCCGCCATTTTTTTCCCCATTCCCGCCATTTTGTGGGCGCGGCCGCCATTTTTTTCCCCATTCCCGCCATTTTGTGTGCACTGCCGCCATCCTGAAAGCCTGGAAAAAACACAGTTGCGAGCCACAAAAACCTCTTTATTCTCCTTCTCACCCCTCCGTTCCCCCTTTTTACCCCTCTACTCCTCCCTTCTGCCCTTCCACCCCCATTTCAGACCCCGCTTTTTGCCCCTCACCCAGGGCTACAGCTGCTCCCCCCTCCCCCTTTTCCTCCTCCTTGAGGTAATCCTTATAGATACGCCTGAGGCGAGCGATGGCGGCTGCGGGCGGCTGCTGCCATTCGTACCACGGATACCACACACGGCCTTCCCTCAGCTGTGGGCCCGGAGGTGTCTTCCCGATGGCGGAATGCGGCGTGAGGTAATCGTCTGATGGTGGAGGAACGAAGGGCACCCGCAGCCATAGCAGCCCTGAGGAATGGAGGTGATGAAGGCAAGAGGGCGGCCAGTGAGCCCCAGTGTGTATCATTAAGGGACAGCTTACCCCCAGTATAAACCATTATGGGACAGCTTAACCCCAGTATAAACCATTATAGGACAGCTGAACCCCAGTATAAACCATAATAGGACAGCTGAACCCCAGTATAAACCATTATGGGACAGCTGAACCCCCAATAAGGACAGCTTAACCCCAGTATAAACCATTATAGGACAGCTTACCCCCAATATAAACCATTATAAGACACCTTAACCTCTAATATATACCATTAAAGCACACATTACAGCTACGGTCCCTATTAATTACTCATCATTAGCGTCTCTATGTTAATTACCCCACGTATAATTAATGAATTTCCCCCCCCTTTCCCCTAATTGGGCTCACCGTGGTCCTGTGCCTGAGCGATGGCCTTCAGCAGCAGTTTGTGTTGTTTCATGCAGACACCTGGGGGGGAAAGGGAAGGTTTGGTGGCCCTACAGGGGGGTTTGGTGGCCCTATAGGGGGTTTGATAGCCCTACAGGGGGTTTGGTGGCCATTGAGACGTCTTTATGGGGTTTGGTGGTACTACAGGGAGTTTGGTGGCCCTACAGGGGGGTTTGGTGGCCACTGTGGTGTCTTTATGGGGCTTGGTGGCCATTATGGTGTTTTTATGGGGTTTGGTGGCCACTGTGATGTCTTTATGGGGTTTGGTGACCGCTGTCGTGTCCTTATGGGGTCTGGTGGCCCTACAGGGGGTTTGGTGGCCCTACAAGGGGGTTTGGTGCCACTGTCATGTCCTTATGGGGTCTGGTGGCCCTACAGGAGATTTGATGGCCCTAGAAGGGGGTTTGTGGCCATTGTGTCCTTATGGGGTTTGGTGGCCCTATAGGGGGGTTTGGTGGCCACTGTGGTGTCTTTATGGGGTTTGGTGGCCATTGTGGTGTCCTTACGGGGTTTGGTGGCCCTACAGGGGGTCTGATGGCCATTGTGGTGTCTTTATGGGGTTTGGTGGCCCTATAGGCAGTTTGGTGGACATTGTAGTGTCCTTACGGGGTTTGGTGGCCCTACAGGGGGTTTATGGCCCTACAGGGTGGTTTGGGGCCACCCCACACGCAGCTTTGGTGGCCATCACAACCTCTTCTGTATTTTTCCCCCCTCACCCGTGTGCGTAGGATGGAAGATGGAGCCGGAATGGGGGCACACAAACTGCTCCAGCAGCTTCACGTTCTGCCGCGAGGAAGAGGAAGACGAGGAGGAAGAAAACAAAAATGAACAGAACGAATTTCCTCCTTTTTCGCCCCGTTTTTGTGCCCCCCCCCAGCAGCTCTGCTCACCCTGAAGTCCACGTGCAGGTTGTGGTCCCGGCAGATGGGGCAGGGGTTCCCCACGCGTTTCCCCTTACGCTGGGGGGGGGGAAATGGTGTGAGGGTCTCCCAGAAACCCCCAAATTCCTTCCCAGTCCCATCCCAGTCCTCCCAGTTCCCTCCCAGTACCCCAAATTCCTTCTCAGTTTCTTCCCAGTCCTTCCATATTCATTCCTAGTCCCATCCCAGTCCTCCCAGTTCCCTCCCAGTCCCCCCAAATTCCTTCCCAGTTTCTTCCCAGTCCCCCCAAATTCCTTCCCAGTCCCCCCAGCTCCCTCCCAGTCCCCCCAGCTTCTTC